CCAGTCGGCGGAAATGGCTTTTGAGAAAATTAGTGGTGCCTTGGGGGAGCAGCCAGGGCCGTGACCCCTGAGGATGGCAGGCTGGGGCACGCCGCACCCGCCAGCCTCCCCTCCTCAGGGCACTTGACGGGCTCGGCCCTGCTCCCCCCACTCTCCTCCCTTCCCGGCCACCTGATTTCAGACTCGGCCACAGTCCTCTGGGCTGGCGGGAGCCCCGGCCTGCGCCATGACTGGGCCCCTTCCTGAGCAGCGTGTCTTTCTGTCGGCTGCCCCAAGTCCTTTTTTTAAAAAGATTTATTTATTTGTGCATACAGAACTGGGATATAGACAAGAGGTGCAGGGGGTGGGAGGATTCCCCAGAGACAGAGCGGGGAGCAGGACAGGCAGATCGACGAAGTACACTGCTGAGGGGAGCAGTGGGCGGTCAGGAGAGGTCTGCCTGGCCGTGTGGGTCAGCTCCTGGGCGGGGACCGAACTCATGCGGAAGCGGCTTTAGCGTCTTAGTGCTGCGCTGTAGCTGGCTGCGCCACAGGGAGGGGAGGCCCGCCCCAAGTCCAGTTTATGGGTATCTCCTGCCTCTTCCCCCAGTGCTCAGTAAGAACTGGCAACCAGACCCTCCTCCCACACTGAGGAAATGGCGGTGCGTGGGAAGGTTTGACCGCCTGGACAAGCAAGAAGTTGGGGCCTCACCCCCAGTATGTGGGCTCCGTGCTCCCCCATGCACGTTTAAATGACGCTCTGGGAGCTGGTTGGGCTTCCTCAAGTGGACAGATGGGGAGTCTGCTGGGCAGGGCCAGCCCAGTGGCCCCGTGGGGCCACCAGAGGTCTGGGTATTTTCACTAAAAGGTAAAACCCAAATGGGGTCTCTAATGTACTGTGGTAACAAAGGGCCCCACCCGGCCCCACACAGCTGGACTGAGTGCAGTCAGAAGGCCCCGAGACCCCGGCCGTGGGGTCCTGAACTAGGACAGTCTGCAGCCGGGGCCCCTCGGCTGGCTGGCTGCAAGGGAACGTGGGATTTCGCGCCTCTGGGTGTGTGTGGTCAGCGCACGCCGCCCTGGCCCTGTGCTGAGTGACTGCTGAGAGGGCCCTGGTCTGGGTGGGGGCGACCCCCGGCCTGAAGGGCCACAGCGCCACCTCCGGCCAGGCCCAGGCCTGCTGCGGGGAAGGTGGGGCCGCCTTCTGCTGGCAAGGGTCAGCCAGGCAGAACAGCAGCTGGCCCAGGGCGGGCTCCCGACTGGACTGCCCTTCGCGGCTCCGGGCAGGAACATGGTGGACAAGAGGCCGTGAGGAGAGAGAGTGGGGAAGGCCCCGCGCTGCCCTGGTGGCTGTGTCCGTGAGAGCTGCGTGGTTTCCTCTGGGCCCCAGGGGCCTCCTCCGTGCTCCCAAGTGGCCAAGGATCGGTCCACTTGCGGGGGACCGAATTCCCTCGGTCACTGCCTGGGTGCATGTGGTCGCCCGTCCCTCAGGCGCATTCTAGGTGGGGACTTGCTGGGCCACGGGCCATTCTCGGCCGAACTCTCGGACCCGCAGGAGGCCGCTCCTGACCCTGCCGGCTCACCTTCCGTCCACGTGGCTGCGGGGCCCAGCCCCCCCACCCCGTCGCCAGGGGGGGCACCCCGGTCTTGCTGACACAGCCTGCGGGCTCCAGCAGGAGCGGCACTTCCGGTGCCCACGCCGTGCCCAGTGGTTATCGGGCGTCTGTGTGGCCGAGATGGAATGTCCGGCAGGCCAGTGACAGTTTCTCTCACTTGAAAGTGCCCTCAGCTGTGTCCCGAGACTCAGATCTTGTTTTGATCAGATCCAGTTTGTGGCGTGGCACGTTTGGTTTTCTCCTTTTGATGCACTTTCTAAAGTAGCTGAAAATGCCCACCCGACCTGAAGGTCAAGGCTGTGCTGGACCCCAGCCCCGGCAAGCAGCCAGAAAGGCGACTTCCGGTTCCTCTCGCTTACTCGTCTAAGTTCCAGAAGAAAGGCAGAGTGTCCTGACCTGTCCCCTGCGCACAAGGTGGCCACGGGGCTGCTGTGCTTGTGCAGGCTGTGCTCAGGCCACGCGGCCCTGTGCAGAGCCCCCCCCCCCCCTGCCCCCCATGACCCTTGTGTTTCCAGCACCCGCCCGTGAGGGCCTTTTGTGCCTGCGGGGGTGCCTGGGGCCCAGGGCCGCCCCTCTACGCAGGGCCCTGGCAGCCTCCGAGAACCCAGGTCCGTGGGCGCTGCCGGGCTGTGCGGGCCTGCGTCCTGCCCCACCTGCGGGCACTGCCCTCCTAGGATCTCGCGTCAGGGGATCCCCAGTCGGGTCAGTGTGGCCAACTCAGCACCCGGGGGGATGCAGCAGCTCCTGGTACCTGCTGGGCCTTCGGCTCGGTCCAGTTTGTGCCTCTGAACGGGGCTGCAGCGACCCAGTGCCGGTCCTCAGGCCGCGCTCCCCAGGCTCCTTGCTCGGCCCTTCTGAGGTGCCAGGGCGCCCTCCCTGCGCTGGGAAAGGCACCCGCCGGCCGGCTGCTGTGCCGGCCAGCTCACCCTTGTGCCTGATTTTTGAAAAGCGACCAGCCACCTCACGGTGCGCCAAGGGGGACTCGCGGAGCCGTCTCCAAGGCGGCGTCTGCAGCGCACAGGCGCTTCTGTCTTTGGGGAGCCCTGACCGGCATCTGTCCTTGTCACTGTTGTCTTGTTCAGCGTGTCCCCCCCGCTCTGAGCAGGTCGCGCCCTCGTCTCAGTGGGGGGCATCCCCGTCATTTCCTATGGCTCACCGTGCCTGTCGCCCGTCTGCGAAGCGCGCTTACGCCTCTTCCCGGCGGGGCTGCGTGTCCACAGCACGAGGCCTGGTCCCGGACCCCGCGAGGCCTGGGCACTCTGCAGGCGGCCGGACGGCATCCTTTCAGGTGACCGCGCAGTCGTCCCTGTGCCATTGAGAAGCCACCTTTTCCTCACGTGCAAGCGCTTCCAGGCCTGTGGGGTGCGGCCCAGGCTTCTGGTCAGGATTTCCCAGTTTCCCACATGAACGTGGAACCAGCTTATTGGGCTCCACAGATGCCCTTGTCGATGACTGAAAGCAGAGTGTGGGGAGAGCTGGTACCCGCGGTGTCCTTCGCCCCTTCTGTTCCTGGAGACGCGTGGGGACGATCCAGGGCCTTTCCCTTCTGGTCGGTCTGGCCTTCAGCCCGTCTGCTCGCCGCTCCCCTCCCGGGGGTCCGCGTGGGGTGGGCTCTGGGCCTTCTCCCCCACTGCATTGTTGCCCCTGGTTCCCCTGAGAGGTGGTTTCTCTCTAGCTTGGGCGTGAACATCTCCAAAGCTTTGTAGCACGGTCACGTTAAGATACAGCGCGTTCCAATTTCTGCTCCTCACTTAGCGTCTGGCCTACCTTCACCACCACTCAATTTTAACACCTTTTAAAACCTTTGCCAGTTTAGTGCCCCCACATGCCAGGGGCTGGGGCGCAGCAGGGAGCAGGCCCGTCGCCCACGGGAGCCTCCGTGACGGAGGCAATGCAGCCTGTGTCCACCCTACAGCCCCCCACCCCCCGCTTTACTGAGGAATGACTGAGAAAAAATCCTGTTTAGGTCGTACAGAGTTCAAGTGTTCGATGCTTTTAGCGTACGTAGACTCGGCCGGGGTCCAGCCCCACAGCACCCGGTGGCCAGGCAGGGCGCCATCCACCAGGCTCTCACCGCTTCGTTGGCATCTGTACTGTGGGCCCCGCTATACGGAGCCTTAACCCTCACTCTAGGGCCTCGGTGTCTGAGGGGTGCAGGTCTGCACAGCGGGGTTCAGCAGGCCCAGGGCTCCTGGGAGCAGCCTTTTCAGGAGGTAGCTGCACCCACCACTCAATCCCTCCGGGGCGCAGGCTGCGGACGACCCTGGAGGGAAACGGCCCAGAGAAGAGCAGGTCCGTGGCACCCCATCCGCGCCCCCACAGGCGTCAGGCTCTTCTCATGTCCAGGGACAGTCAGCTGCCTGCAGAAAGCGGGGAGCAGGCACATCCACCACCAGCCTTCAGCCCAGGCGCCTGGTCCCTGGGAGAGGAAATTTCCTTCTCTCTGTATTTATTTTCCACATCCTTGACTTTGAAAGCCAGGCTTATGTTGGTATTTACCTTGGCCCGACCTCCCCGTCTCCCCGCCAGCCTCGTGTAAACACGATGTTCCTTCTCTCAGTTCTGCCGCGGTGAGGTGGCCTTTTGCAACCAGTTCTAGGAATTTTGAAAGTCTAAAGGCGTAAGTTCAGGGTCCAGCCCTCCAGGGAGCACAGGGCACGAGGAGCCCCTTGGCCTCACACTGGCCTCGGCCCAGGGCGGGACTGGTGCCAGCCTAGCGGGCGCCAGGCAGGGCCCCCCACACTCAATCCTCTGCTGAGAGGCCAGAGGGGGCTCCTTTGTCCCCATATTCCAGCCAGCCCGCCTGCCTCAGTCAGACTCAGGATTCTGTGGGTTCCCCAAGGGTAAACAAACAACTCTTTGTGGCTCAAAGGTCCAGCCCAGGGGAGCTGTCTGCGCCCTGGAGGGATTCAGAGTGGTGGGTGCAGCTACCTCCTGAAAAGGCTGCTCCCAGGAGCCCTGGGCCTGCTGAACCCACCGCTGAGGCTGGTGGGGGACGGCTCTCAAGGGACAGCTGGCTCCTGAGCGCCTGTCAGGCGTGTGGCCTCTGGCCCGTGGTCCTCGTGGAGGGGGAGCAGAAGCCAGCCCCCGCCGGCGAGCTCTACCCTCTGGGCCAGAGGGCCCGCGAGGACCAGCCCGTAAGGGCAGCGTGGTGGTCAGTGCTACAGAACAAGAGCAAGTGGAGGCTGGTGGGTACAGACACCTGCTCTGCGGTGACCAGGGTGGGGGTCCTCCCCCATCACCAGTGAGGCCCCAGGCAAGTGACATCACTTCTAAGAAACAAGACAGCAAGGCCGTGTCACCTGCGCAGGGAATCACTGTCCCTTCAGTTTGTCACAGCCACTCAGCTTTGAAGCTGCATCTGGAGGCCACCGGGCACTCAGCTGATGTCTCCTTCTCCATGCAGATCTGGGACATGAGCGACGATGAGACCGTCTGACGTGCCCCTTCTCCCTGCTGAGGCGCCGTGTTCGGAGCAGGACTGGGGACCCCGGGCCCGCACCCCCGCCCTTTCCGCTCCCTGTACCTTGAAGACTGGCGCCCTCCCTCCGCTGCCCTGGAGCTTCGGGTGTTCTCCATTTCCCGTGATCCTGCTGGTTCTGAGCTAAATAATAACCTTGGCTTTGGCATGGCCGTTGGTCTGGGCCCTGGCCGCCTCCATCGCGGTGCTTTGTTCTGGTTGTCGCAGCATTTAGTAGTCAGGTTCCCAGACCTGTCACGCCACAGCCCCCAGGGGTGTCAGTGAGGACAGGCAGGAGCCTGCACACCCCCCGGGAGCCTTCCGGGACCAGCCCCTCACTGTGGCCTGTTGGAGAGGGAGGGAAGTGCGTGGAGCAGGACAGAGGGGACCACACTCGTCCCAGTGGACCCAGAGCAGCTGGCCAGTGGGCCCCCGGCAGCTCCACCTCCCACTCAGGGGAGCTTTCTGCTGCTGCTCTTCCCGATGGACTCGCCAAGGACGGGTCTCACGGCCGGATTCCGGCCCAGAGAAGACCACTCGCGGGTGGTCACACTCCTGCGACCCTGTGAGGATGTTCCTCCCCCGCTGAGCCTCTGTCAGGTGCTGACCACAGCGCGGGGCAGCGAGGCCTGCTGGCATCTGCGGCCGGGCGTCTCTCCACAGCCCGCCCTGTGAAGGTGGGGGAGCCCCATGCTCTCCTCCCACTTCCATTTATTCTTGTAGCGTCATCTCACCCGTCAGAGTGAGGCGGAAGTCAGTGTTCACTCACCAGGAGGCTCTTGGGAGAGTGGGGTTTCCACGCTGCCATTTTGTGTGCTGCTTCTCGCAGAGCTAAAACTGAGTTTCCGGCTGGTGTGTGGGGTCAGGGCCGCCACGCCCAACCCCCTCCCTGGGCGCTGCGACCCCGGAGGCAGAGGGTCACACACGTGTGGTTTAAGAGCACTTTATTATTGTTCTTAAGGCTACTTTTAAGTACAAAAAAAAGATGGCCTGCCAAACCTTTTTTTTCTTCTTCTTCCAGGAAAAACAGGCCACAGAGAATGGTATATTACAGATGTACAGACACGGAGCGCGCTCAGGAAGCACCGCGGGCGGCGGGCTCTGTGGAGAGGCTCCCTGGGTGCCTCTGGGGGCGTCCTTCCCCGGGGAAGGGCCCGTCCCGCCCCCCACCTGCCCGAGCTTTCTGGGCCGCCTATCCCAGATAGGCCGGCGCCCGCGCCCCGCCCCCCACCCCCGACGCGCTTGGATGTCTCCAGCCATC